TCAGGCGGAATGATGGCAATCAAGGAAGTTCCGATCGAGAGTCACCTGATGAGTTTGCGCGAGCAGGGGAGGATGTTAATGTAAAGCCTAGTTTATAAGTCTGTCGTTTTTTTAATACTATCTCATCTCTGAATAAATGCAATGTTTTCATTTCAGTTGCAACTTGGAATCCGAAATGGCGTTAGGCAGTTCCTTCGCATTCTAAACGCGCGAGTGAGAAACGGCAATAATCGAGCCATGGATGCAGCTATGCGTGACTTAGACTCTTCAGAAGAGGAATCGTTCGACGAAGAAGACGGTGCTTCTTCTGAAGGAAATGGTAGCGCGGCAAATCCGAATTTCGATGTACAAGTAAGTTCAATGTTTCATCAAGCATTTTGGTAACTAAGGTAATGAGCACAGATCTGAGAAAGTTTGAAGCTCGGCCAGTTTCCGTGATTCGTCGTCCCATTTTTCACACCAAGAATGCAATGATGCCACTGTTGGCGTGACCGCTCTTTAGGAAGCGCCACCGGGTGCATCAGAGCCTGATCAGTGACTTGCGTGGGCAGATGTAAAAGTAACTGTTTTTCTGTTATCTTCCCTGACGAATCCACTACCAACTTGTCGCACCTGAAGAGATGAGAGGCTTAGTGGTTCCGGCGGGGGCCACTCCGGCATTTGGCATCCGGGCAGTACCTATGACAGTCGGTGCCTTTTCCCGTTGCTTTACACATGAAGGATGAGAAACTAAAATGAATAGTTCTGAATCCTTCCTTTTCTAGTCCTGATAGGCAATTTCTGTCTCACTTCAGATCAGCCAAATTCAAAGGCGTGAGTCTAAACAGAGGGTTACACCTAATCTCGGGGATGGCTTGAACGGGTAGAATTCCGGTTCTGAAGAATGGTTCGGAAGCCGTTTCTGCGGAAGCGGTTTGGTTCAATCATACAAGAGCTGCTGTCCTCTTAAGAGCGCAAAGCCTTTATCCCTTTGGCTCTTGTCATGAATACAAACACCATAAGGGCACGCACCGCGTTCATTTGATGTTCAGGCGCCTTCTATGGACAGGATAGTCCACTCCGCGAGCGCGGAAGATGTACAGCTCATAAACCCGTAAAGAGCTCAGTTCGGAGACGGGGTGGGGGCATTTTGCTATTTGCCACTTCCCATCGACGTGTCGAGCCATCGAGAGAGCCTTACGAAGTTGACAGGTTTTATCATGATGGCTGGACGAGCTTGCTCCAGCTACACAAGAGTTCACAGATTTCACCAGGGTGACTGCAAATCTGAACTAGTTAAAGACAGTATCCGCGCTCGAGAGGCCTTCAAAATGACTTCGCGCCTTCTGGAACCCTCTGCGCCTTGATGAAGATGATCCCGCTTTTATCCATCAATGGCGCGCGATGAGGAAGTTATCGCAATTTCGACAAGGCTCGCTAGGCTCACGGAGACGGTAGGTGGACGAGGCGTCTGGTCCCGAAGTGCATCCGTCCCTTCAAAGCCCGCGTGTCCCTTTAAGCCCGCGGTCTCAC